TCCAAAAATTCTCTTTAATTAAATCCTGCTTAAACCCAGAAGACATATTAAAAATATACTATACCTAAAGGGCAGCTCTGTTGACTATTTGGAGGTATATTTTCTTTAGCCATGGAAATTAACAATCTGCTAGTCTCAGAAAGCTTCTCTGGTTCTTTATTCTGAAAAAGAGAAAACAGAGTTTGCTGCCTCACAAGGTAAAAGACACACCACATGAGAGTAGTAATGTTGGCATAGTTATTAGCACTGTAGATCAGAGAGATTGAAAGGGATGTGGGATTAACACATGAAACTGATTGCATATTTCACCAATATTATCAAAAAAGCAGCAGTTCYTCTACTACACAGGAATTACTTCAATGTATTTCAATTGAAACAAATCAAATCGTATTCCCACCAGCTTCAGAGTTTACACACATCCTCTTTGCTTTCTACAGGGACTGAGGGAACTGCTGGGCAAGTTCCAAGMCCCCTGTAACTAGAGGCACCAACAGCCTGGAACTTCATCCAACCACAGGCTGCAGACATGCTCTTGCTCTCTAAAGTTGCTTCAAACAAAGGATGCAAATTAAAGAAGGTCAACACTTTCTCCTAGCTCCTTAAGGATTAGCTTTTTAGAGAAATTTATTATAAATAGGTAAAAATATTTTACACACACAAGGGCAAAGATAAATACTCATAACTGTCTCATAAAACAAAAAAGGAAGTGAAAAGGCAGTATCACAATCAGTATCTTATTAAAAGCTAAAGGTAGTTGGGGCTTTAAGTCTTAAACAATATATATTACAAGAAAAAAAAAGCTCCCCCCCCCCCAAGTAATTCATTCTAGCTAGCTAAGAGTTACACTATTTAAATAATTTCCATGCAACTTTTTGCCATGTGTTTGCACTGGCAAATAACTTAAATGGTGATGTGCAAATCAAAAATCTTTATAGCTCAGAAATTTTACTAAACTTTCTAAGAACCACCTTGTGATGATTACAGCTTTTGTGAAACTATTCTATTAAGTAATCTGCCTTTCCTAATTGCTATTTTTTTTTCATTGAAATATTACAGCTGTTTGTACCTTCTGTCTACTTCCTACTGCCTCTTTTGTGAGGTGGGCAGAGTGCAGCACCCAAGGGGCAGAGGCAGGACTAACAAACATTTGCTAGAGTTTTCCAAGTTATAAAGAAGGAATCGCAATTGCCAGGAGACAAACAGAGCTTTTTAAAACATGCATATGTAAACATAAAGCATATTCAAGTTAGAAACTGCTTTGAATAGATAGATCCTTAATACATACTTTAACAACAAATAATATTTTAAGAGCATGGTAAAAGCAAGCTTAATTCAAGACTATAATGACAAAAGTCTTTAAATTCAGGAAAATCATTTAATTCTTACCCTCATCTCCATGTAAGGTGGATCATTTTCAAGCTCTGCTTTATCTTGTGCCAATCTGGCCTTCTGATCTTGAATAAATTTTTCTAAATCATCTGCCATCATTTTCTAAGATTAGAGGAAAAAAATTGCATCTATGTCAGAGCAGCAGAAACTTACAGCATAAGACAGTAGTTAAGTGATGTTCACATCTTTCTCTCAAAACTGCAAACCTTAAGAACTCTGCGGGGTTAAAGGGAAACCTACCTCAGGAAACACATGCCCTGAGGGCCATACTGCATGTTTGCCCTGAGCAAAAARTCAGGTATCCCAAATGGTACATCTTAATGATATTTCTCTAATCTTTTTTACTAATTCAGTTAAAAGTTTGTTATTGTTTTAACTTAATAGTGCTTTGGAAGTCTACCAATTGCCCTTCACTATGCATTAGMAAAATTATAAAATGAAAGAAAACAGCAAAGAAAAAGACTACTAAAGTGCAATTAAACATGTATTCTGAAGTAATGGTGAAATTAAGCAGTCATGATTCTGCAAGAATCATAATTTGGTGGATATTAAGCAGCACTGCTTTATAATAAGACATTTACCTGTAATAAGACATACTGCAGGATCARTTATTGGATCCCTTTTCCATTAGCTGTCTATTTAATTGAAAGTTCTTCAGAGCTCAAACTTTCTTTAGCATCATATTTAATAAAAATTAAAGTGAATCAAATGCATGAGAATAACGTCTGGTCAAACATTTATACTTCAGAATATTCTTTGCCAGGATAGTTTCATCAGAACTAAAGAACAGTGCAAAACTGAACAATAAAGAATTAAGCATGGGAAAAAGAAATCAGAAGAGACTGCATACAAGCCTGCTCCTAATCTCTGCTCAGCTTCTTCATTGATTCTGCTGGAGTTTTACAAAGCTAAGACTACGCATAAGAACCCTTACGTTACAGCCCACGCTTGCAGGGAGATAAAACTGAGAAGAATCCTACATTTCAATCTCTAAACTCTAGATTAGCGCTAAACTAAGCGCACAATTAAGCAACATGATGGCTAATACAGGTCCGAAGCAATACCATCAGATCTGGCATCTAAATATACAGTTTTACAGAGGCCAATCCAGTATCATTCCAAGGCCTACAGGTTGCATGAAGTGAACAGTAARCCAACAACAACRGCATGTYAGAAAATATTTWAAAAAATAAAAATACACACACTGCAGAATAAGATACCTAGCAAGAAAACAAAATTACACAACCAGAGAAAATTCATTAAATACTTACTAGGAAAAGGCAGATGAAGAGATGTAACGTCGRGCGTGCAAGAAATAAATGAAGTCAACATGCAGTGTCATGTGACAGAAAAGACCTGAACTTAAGGAATACACCTGCCTTATGCTTTGCTTCATGCATTAAACTTTAATGTTATTGTTTGATTAGTAATACAAGATTATAACCTTCCTACAAAGGAAGTAAAACTAGGACAACTCATTTACAAGTCCTAGTGATAACACAGGGCAGTCAATTCCAAAAATAAATTCCCCCATCTGATTTGCCCTTAATCTTTAATCTCATTAGTTTTGCACAGTGATAAAGTTGGGGAATAAATGAAATCTAAAAAAGCCTGCATTTCCAGGCACTGAAAAAATCTATTTAGACTCTGAAACTATTTAAGAATAATGAAAATAGACTGAAACACCTGAAATTCTCATCTCCATTTACATGAGCATTTATGAATGCTGGAACTACTCTCAAGTGAGAGCACTGGAACAGGGCCAAACTATTCCAAAAGTCTGTATAAGGAAAGGAAGAAAATATACCAGAAATGGCTCTATCTAGAACGAAGAACAAAGTGAGCATTATAACATTGTTCAACTTTTTCACACTGTTCAAAAGAGTAACATAATAAAGACTGAAAAAGTTGCAGCTGAACTAGAGATTGAGTCCCATATGACAAAAACACAAACTCTCAGCCTGCAAAGGTAAACTCGGATTACAAACACCAAGCACCGGTGATTCAGCACAGCTTTAATGGGGCTCAACAGCAAGGAAACGCAGCCAAACGCTGCTGGGGAAATGGCCAGACTTTTTGTCTCTCTTTCCTTGAGATCTTCTAAGAACACGCACAAAGTTTSAAGGATCCAGGAAGAGCAAGGTGCCCGCACAAATATTCCATTGAAAGCAGCAGGTTCCAAAGGAATGTTGCCAAAGTTGCTCAGCGTGCAGGAAGGGTAACGTGGGGCAAGTGCTCAGAGCTCCAACCTTAAACCATCTACCCCCAAATCACGGGGTGCAAAAGGACAACAGCTATCTGGTGTGTTTTGGATTATTTTCTAATGGTGATTAAAAGCCTTGTTTTCAATACTCTAGATCAATGCCTTTAAGTCTCACAGGCATGTGCAAAACATTTCCACAACACTGCATTATTAAAAGGAAAATTACATTAAACACGTTTATTTTTTTCCAAGTACTGGCCGACGGCGCCTAATTAAAATAACGTATACGTTTCGTAACATTTTACTTTTAATCATTCTTTTTAAAAACTTTTCTAAAGTTAAAAAAAAAAAA